CTCGTCCATCAAAACGCTGATGTGAACTTACGCCTGCTTGCTAATCAAATTTATTGTTTTGAAAAATATATAAAATGGGTAACAATGGGCTAAAACCCTTCCACTCTCTACCTCGTACAAGTAGATTACCACTTCTTCCTTCCAGAGAAAGTGGTTTGTGTCCTTATCCTCAACCTTTACCATGCGTTGCCTCAAGGATCTGTCAGTTTCTCGGGTTTCGGCACCAAATGTGGGACTTGCTTGTCTCCTTTAGGTTCTCAGACTGTTGAAATGTCTTGAAGACTCTGTCTTGGCTGGATTGGTTGGGATTTAAAAGATTTGTCTATTCAACAAAAACTTCTTCAATAGTTGCAAGCCCAAAAAACAACTAAGCATGCTCACAAAAATTAATTAATTACACCTCGATTATTCCCTACTCTCATCACTCCAACTCAAGTTTTTTCCCAATATTTTTTTATCCAACATTATAATGAACTGTAACACATATGCACTTACTCTCATTGGCTTCTCCAAAATTACTGTATTTCTCAATACTGATGATTCATGCAATTGCGTAGTCATTGCCCTACGAGCAATAGATGCTAGAGCAAAAGCAATTGTCAGGAGACAGATTTAATTTGTCTTTTTTTTATCTAATGATGAAAAAATAAAAATACAACCTTATAAACATGTATGTAATTGTACCTGCATGCAAGTTGCTGATAAAACCGAGACACCAAAGGTGCGTGGCCTCGCCCCTAAAGCTGTTTGGCAGGTGTTAGAGCTAGCCCAAGCTAGTACATTGAAATGATTGACATGTAGATCCTTCCAAAAATTGGTAAAATGTATTGATAAATTCCTATTAGCATCTCAAGATTTATCACTTATTTATACACTATATTTATACTTATTGCACTCTCATTTCAAATACAACATCATGGGTTTTAAAACCACAGCTTTTGTGGCCACTATCTATCAAAAGCATGCTATGCAAAAATTTAGAAAGTGTGCTCTTGAGGCCAAGGGATTATCATAACAGCTAGCTGCAGTTACACTTGCTCTTGCATGCTTGCAGAAGTGGCAAGCTACTCCAGGGCCCAGGGCCCCAGGCTCCAGCAACTTCCACCTTGGAAGCGTGGCATTAATTATCAACAATGCGGCAAGACCATGTGAGTAGGAAGATTCAGAGTTTTTTCTCTTCTTCTAAGCGCTATATGATGTTATAATGGCTTGTTGCCTAGATAGATTGAGTGACTTAAGAGAGTTTAGGATCCTTAGACAAGCAAACTATGGCTACAGCACTTCACTTGGGATAAAATTCGAGTAGGCATAACTCACCAACAAGAAAGATTTAAAGAGTTCCACACAAGTGAAATGAATAACTAGTCTTGATCTACTGGAAAAGAGTGTCATTTACCTCCAGAGTACTACCGCTATTGCTGGGCATTTTCTCGTGAGTTAAAAAGCTTGTACTACCTAGAGCTGCTTTCTAAACATCTCAAAGCAGTAAAGCAAGACTTTTCTAACAGAAAAGAAGCTCTTGCAGATTTAGAGCGCGCAATTGTAAAGATTTACATTCTCAAAGACAAAATATAGCACACAGAATGAATGACAGACAGACAAACCGAGTACCTAGTCCTCGCCTACGCAAAGCTGGGCAAGGCCAATAATTCTACAAGTCTTCCCTATTGTCAGTGGCAGATCTAAGAGGTTCCACCCCTTGACAAAAGAAGTTGTCTTTTTCTTGCTTTTTTTCTCCAATACAAATATTGTACCTACAGTACACAGTCTTTTCTAAATATATACAGTACAGTGCATTATATATTATACCATTTACATCTTCCACTGAAGTATCTCCTTTGCAGTTTGCATGTTATAAATTTAAAGATACCTTATTAATTCCTTTTCCTTTAGTGTAATCAAATAATACCACCTGACCCTCACCCCTTCCATTAATGATACTCTTCCCACCAGACCTTACTACTCCCACAAATTTTCAAAATTCATACCGTAAATCCTTAATTAGAAGCCGCATTCGAATAAATGCCGGGATAGCAATACAATTAAACTATAAATACGCAACACTAGCCTAGGAGTGACTCAGTAGTCTAGTGGATAATGCCGAAGTTCCAGAAGTCAAAAGCATGAGGTTACAGGTTCGAATCCCGCTCTGGGCTGAAGTTTTTTTAATATTTTTTCAAGATCCAAATACCATTTTAGGAAATAGACGCCCGGGCTTTTCTTTAAGGAAATACGGTACATTAATACTTGTTATTTGCAATAGCATATTATTGTGTCTTTACGGTAGTAATGATTAATGAATAACAAAGTGAATCAGAGAACACACAAAGAAAAGGTCCACTCAAATATATAATAGTCACATGGTCCAAAAATGTTTTATACATGCTCACAAATAATACTAATACTAGAAAAATGTAGAACATTAAGGGGCGAGCCTGAGCGAAATATTCAGTTCAGTTTTGACTTTTATTATCAATTTTGTAAAAAATTAATTTTCATCAATAATGTTTTTAATTAATTATTGTGCAACAAACCAACTGAATTAAATCAAAATAATGATCCCAAGTTTACAATAGTGAATGAATCACAGTTTGATGATTAAATTGAAGTTAAATGATTGTGAAAGGGAGAGTCATTAATCAGATGATGCTGAAGGCACTTTACTCACAGTCTTTATTGTGTTAGTTGCAGTATAATATTGCACTGATATCTCACCACTACTTAGTAGCTTTTCCTCAAGTGTCTCACCATCTACATCTGATATAATGTCTTGCAATTGCTCATTATACGCAGTGAGGTACGACTTCTTGGATTCTTGTGAGAGAAGAATTTTTGCTGATTTACAACTGTTACAATGGCTTAATTTCATTGTTGCTTGACACTTGGTGCACCTTGCAAGAACTTCACTAACATGACGAACTGATCCAGTACAAACTATGCAGCTGGTGTAATCAGTTATACTTAATACGGAAACAATTTCACCATAAGCTTTCATTATTGGATGTGTTGCTTGAACTGTAATTTCATCATCCTCATCTTCCTCAGGTAGATCTATTTCAAGAAAATCAGGGAGCAGCTCAACTGATGCACCATCACAAAAGGACAGGTATTTGATTCCTTCAAACTGCTTTACTAATACCTTGACCAACTTGTAGCACTTCCCTTTCTCCAACATACTGGTATCCTTTTCCCACAATACAATGCGACAACTCCCACTTAAATCTCAAATCACACAATCTTGTTTCATTAGTCACTTTCCAAACTTCGTTGTTATCTCAACTATTTCATCAACTTTAACTACTTTACCACAGGTGGAGATGTGCTGGTTGACATTAGCTGCAAATACTTGGTCTATGGCAACAGTATCATCCACAATCTCAGCTTTATCAACTTTAAATTTCTTTGGAGAATGTTCTACAGTAGAAAACCTGGTTGTTACCACTTCAAGGTTAGAGTCAAATTTATTTGTTTGAACTTGACAATCGGTGAGAGCAAGAGAAGTATTCTGATCTTTGAGTTTTTCTATTGATGATCTCAATTTCGGTTCAAAAGAAACGAACTTGACTGATTTATTGCTATCGCTGATTTTCCCATGAAAGTAATTACAGTTTTCCCTATTCCTGCCCTTTTTAAGGGGTGACAACTCTACTACTTGCCCATGAACAGTGACATTATTTGATACTTCTAGTTCGCTGACATCATACGAACGTTTTGTAGGAGTAGAGCTAAGTCTAGGAGCAGACGGGTCCATCCAAACACTGCTTACAAAAGAGCTTAAGGAAGACGTATTTCTATTAGCAGGTTGCCACAAAATTTCCTTTACTTTCTCTTTTGTCTTCTCGACCTCGTGACTGACACTCCGTTGTATAGATCTAGATCTATAAATAGATTTCAGTGACCAGGCCTAGATTCAGGGTTTGTCTATTTTTAGTAACTTTAAGCTTATTAATTATAACTTTAAAAGTGAACTTAGTCTTAGACCAGACCTGTTCAAAAATGGCCGATGATGGTCAAGCTCATGAGACTGATGCTCGTCCTAATGATACTGCAGTTGAAGACGAAGATGACGATCTTTTTTATGATAGTGTCGATTGGTGCAAAGTTGCTACAGAAAGAGAAAATAAAATAAAGGAACTTAAAGGTGACAAAAAGACTCTGGGGAAAGGTATTAAAGAGCGTGACAGAAAGTTGAAGAGTTTAACAGCAGATTATGAGAAAATGAAAAACGATTACGAAAGAGTAAAGTTTGATTATGAAAAACTGCTAAAAGAGCATGCATCTTTAAAAACGGGAAAAGGAAAACTTCAGAGTGATTATAATCAACTGAAGGCCAATCATGACGATTTGCGAAGTGATTATTCCATGTTAAGAAGTGATCAGTACAAATTGCAGTCTGATTATGATCAGATAAGGAGTAAATTAAATAATTTTGAGGCAGAAGAAAGAAGAAAATTGAAAAGGCAGAGACTTGAAGAACAGAAGCAGGAGGAGGAAATGCAAATCAAAAGAAGAGTTAGACTGGAAGAGATTGAAAGAGCCAAAGTAAGAGAAGAATTGCGTGGCAATCAACATTATAATCAACAATGCTTCAATTAATTATTTTTAAAACAATCTCTGAACAATGATAATAATAATATTATTACCGGTAATTTAGTGTTTTTTGATGATAATAAAAATTTGATAACAATAATGTAATAATGAAAAATACCAATAAAATCAATTATTTTGCAGTGTTCTTGCATCCTGCATTTATGCAGGGTGTTGGCCAGTACCATCGCAAAAATGTGACACTGCACACTGGCCCCCCACCCTACCACCCGTTTGGGGCTATAGAAGGGGAAAAAAGCAATATGATCATAACAGTTGAAATAAATATTTCAAAGGTACATATACCTTGTAATTAAAGCTACTTGAAGTGATGTGTTGATGATATGTGACCATAATTTGACAAAAGGTACCTTATGGCGGATAGGAAAATTGGTCTTTATGGCCTTAAAAATCCAACTTTCCAAGCTCCCTTTATCACAAAATTACTTCAGAGCATGCAAAAAGTTTCTATGAAACTTTTAGAAACAATAGTTGTCTAACAGAGCACTC